CACAGATTGTAAAGCATTTTTAAGCGCCCGCAAACACAATCTAATTTTTGACACCCTCTCGCCTATACCACGCCTTAAACACGCCTATAAATCGCCAATACCTCGCGTATTGTACATGGTTAATATGCCTTTAAGACGCCTATACCACGCCTTAAACACACCTTAAAAACGCCTATAACGTGCCTATAAATCGCCAATCTCATATTGCGTCTTTAATACGCCTATATCACGCCTATACCGCACCCACTGCACAAGCGTTACAAGGCCTCACAAGGCCTCACCCTCACAAGGCCTCACAGCGTTACCCACGAGGCCCTCACAGCGTTACTCACGAGGCCATCACAGCGTTACTCACAAGGCCTCACAGCGTTACTCACGAGGCCCTCACAGCGTTACTCACAAGGCCTCACAGCGTTACTCACAAGGCCCTCACAGCGTTACCCACGAGGCCCTTACAGCGTTACTCACAAGGAGGCCCTCACAGCGTTACTCACAAGGCCCTCACAGCGTTACCCACGAGGCCCTTACAGCGTTACTCACAAGGCCTCACAGCGTTATTCACAAGGCCTCACAGCGTTACTCACGAGGCCCTCACAGCGTTACTCACAAGGCCTCACAGCGTTACTCACAAGGCCCTCACAGCGTTACTCACGAGGCCCTCACAGCGTTACTCACAAGGCCTCACAGCGTTACTCACAAGGCCCTCACAGCGTTACTCGCAAGGCCTCACAGCGTTACTCACAAGGCCTCACAGCGTTACTCACGAGGCCCTCACAGCGTTACTCACAAGGCCTCACAGCGTTACTCACAAGGCCCTCACAGCGTTACTCACAAGGCTCTCACAGCGTTACTCACAAGGCCCTCACAGAGTTACTCACAAGGCCCTCATTAAGAGGGATCTGTCATGGCGTCACGTGGCCAACGTTTGATTGGCGGCGGCGGATCACGTGACGCGAGCCAATCATCACTCAAAGAAATTAACGAGACTTGTCTCAAATATTGATACAGTTTTTTAATTAGTCTTCATAACTCTGCTTGGTATGGTGCATAAGTGCATATAATATTAGCCTCATAACTTATTTATTTTACTTAATTTATCATAACTCATAAATATGGTGCATCATTGCTGGCACTATTTGGATAATGTGACTAATTATTTTCTTTGAGTGCAGTCGACTGATTGTTGTTACCATAACTAAGTAATTAGTGCCCGCTTACCGCAGACCATAATTAATAAAGTAACATTATAAAATTAATAATCAAAATAATATCAATAAATAAGATAAGAAATGAATTTTGAATAATAAATAAATTATTTTAATAGAAAGCTAACATTTTGTATTTCAAGCGCCGCTCCTCGGTACTTGACAATTAAGAAGCAAGTATTCCTTTACATGAGGAAAGTAGCGTATAATATTAGCCATGTATATTAACATAAAATATTAGCCATGTATATTAGCATAAAACATTGGCATATAATATTAGCATATAATATTAGCACATAATATTAGCACATAATATTAGCACATAATATTAGCCATGTGTATTAGCACACAATATTAGCATGTAATATTAGCCTGATGTACTGGCGGCCAGTACTTTCCCCGTGTACAGGCACGTGCGCTGCGCATCCCTTGCCCTCGGGGCATCATTTAGTGAGGGAAGTGAGGGGAGTGAGGGGAGTGAGGGGAGTGAGGGGAGTGAGGGTGAGGGTAGTGAAGGGAGTGAGGGGAATGAGGAGAAAGAGGGTAGTGAGGATGGATAGGACAGTGAGGGAAGAGTGAGGGAATGGGTGGGGGAAGAGAAAGACAGATTATAGAGAGGATGGCGTAAGCCTCATGATAAAATGTAAATATTATCTTTAAATTAAGCGTATTAACCCGAACATTGTCTTTACTTTCGTGCTTGTTCTATTTTCTGCTCGCCCTCACCCTACCCTCACCCTACCCTCACCCTACCCTCACCCTACCCTCACCCTACCCTCACCCTGCCCTCACTTATTTCTTGTCCCTCTTTTGCCCCACCCCACACTCCTCTCCTCCCCTCGGCACGTGTCGCCTGTGGACCGCCAAGTCAATTGTTTGAAGATCAAGTGAACTGCGAGGGCCGGGGACCCAGGGGCGAGTGAGGGGCGGTGAGGGTTATTGAGGGGAGAGTGGTGAGGGACGGTGAGGGAAGAGTGGTGAGGGACGATAAGAGCAATTTGGTGCAGCCCAGAGCAAGGCAGAGCAATCTAAAGAGACCAGAAAATTTCAGAGCAGTTCAGAGCCGGACAGAGCTGCCAAGGGCCACGTACTCAGAGCCGCTCAGAGCCGCTTAGAGCCGTTCAGAGCAGTCCAGAGCGGCTCAGAGCTGCTCAGAGCTGCTCAGAGCCGTTCAGAGCCGCTCAGAGCAGCCCAGAGCCGTTCAGAACAGCCCAGAGCCGCTCAGAGCAACCCAGAGCCGTCAGAGCAGCCCAGAGCCGTTTAGAGCCGTTCAGAGCCGCTCAGAGCCGGGCAGTTCATTACGGCGGCTCAGCAGGTAATCCGGCGACCGGCACGCGTCGCGCCGCGCGTCTTTATTGACGCAAACATCGGCGGATTATGGCCGGCCACCCCTGGCCGCCTGTGTTGACATCATCAGCCTTAATTAATGTACTTCTCAGGGCTATTTATTGACTATTTCATACTGCTTTGTTGACTATTAAACTCATGAGTAATTGGTAAATATTCCTAATTTATTTAAATAATATACAGTAGATCTGAACATTTGTTGTGTGTTGCGTAATTTAATATATATATACTTTTACTACGCAATTTGAATATTTTGATTTAATATGACATAATATTTCTCAGACTTAATTGATAGATATTCAATATCGCTTTAAAATCGCTCGGTATGCTTGTGATAAAGCTTAAATTAATATAATTTTCAGTATCAATTGTTAATCTTTCGATATATAATACAAGTCCCAGTATAACTTTTTAGTACTTTAATACCGATTTAATTATTACAGTTCTCAAATAACTTATTAATATATGATAATGCACTTCCGCTTGTTGCTTGAAACGTTGCCGTTAGTTACGAAATGTTAAGAAGTTACGTACAGCGAACGGCGTAATGACGTAAAGTGTAACGCACGGTGAAGAGCTTTACGTGACTTAATTACGACGTAACGCATGACGTAACACAGTCTTGTAACTGCCACGACTTGCTTGGTAACGGTTATTAGTGCACGGTAACCGTCATAAATGATATAACGGTCGTAAACGATAACGGTGATGCACGATAACGGTCGTAAACTATAACGGTCGTAAGCGATAATGTTCGCACACGATAACGGTCGTAAACGATAACGTTCGTACACTGTTAGAAAAATTACCGTTACCGGTATTACCGGCGTTTCAGTGGCCGGTCGGCACGTGAAAAGAAACACCGTGTCACCGTTTTCATTCAAATTCAACACCAAAAATCCGTAAAACATCTGATAAAAACGGCGAAACAGTTTATTTTCACGGGGCGACCGGCCACTAGAACGGTTGTAAATTATAGCGATCGTAAACGATAACGGTCGTAAACTATGACGGTCTTAAACGATAACAGTCATGCACGATAACGGTCGTAAACGATAATGGTCATGCACGGTAACCGTCCACATATTGAACCATCAACGGAAATGTCCGTCACACGTCACTCAAAACAACCATGAATAAATTAATGAATAAAGATGAATAAATGCGGATGAATAAATCACAATAATCTAAACTGGCTCCACCAATCACAGCGCTGCATCGCCGAACAATCCGACCAATCACAAGCCTCCTTACATCGGCACTTGACGTCAGCCGTTCAATGGCAAGTTCCATTAACTGATGTCAGTCTTTGTACGGTGGTCTTAAGGTGGTCTTAAGGTGGTCTTATAAGGTGGTCTTGAGGCAATCTTTAAGGTGATTTGCATGGCATAACAAGTGGGTCTTTGAAGCTGAAAGAAGAGCTGTCACTTGATGATAAAATAACATCAGCCTGGGCATATAAACCGGGACTTGAAAGCAGGTGGTGGTGGTGATGGTGATGACGGTGGTGTAGCAGGTGGTATAGCAGGTGGTGTAGCAGGTGGTGCAGCAGGGGTGTAGCAGGTGGTGTAGCAGGTAATGTAGAAGGTGGTTTAGGAGGTAGTGTAGAAAGTGTATAGCAAGGAAGTGTAGAAAGTGGTGTAGCAGGTGGCGGTGTAAATTAGGTATAACGTAGTGTAGCAGGTGGTGGTGTAGAAGGTATTGTACCTGGTAGCGTAGAAGATGGTGTAACAGAAGATGTAGAAGGTGGTGTAGCTAATGGCATAGCAGGTAGAGTAGAGGTGATATAGGAGGTGATATAGTAACTGGTGTAGCAGTACATGCTAATCTTAACAAAATTTAGACGCGGGCCCGACTCTGCATCAGGCGCCGCCCAGGACTCGGGGAGCGCGTAAATCAGCCGCTCATGTCCGCCTCGGCCGGGCTTGAAGTGCAGCCTCTGAGCAGCTTGTAAGCTCGGCATGACTCGGCCATGACAACCGTTGTCATACTCTCAGGACACACTTGTCATACTCTCAGGACACACTTCTCATACTCTCAGGACACACTTGTCATACTCTCAGGACACACTTGTCATCCTCTCATGACCCACTTGTCATACTCTCAGGACACACTTGTCATACTCTCAGGACACACTTCTCATACTCTCAGGACACACTTGTCATACTCTCAGGACACACTTGTCAAATTCTCAGGACACACTTGACATACTTACAGGACACACTTGTCATACTCACAGGACATACTTGTGCTCTCTGTATGACACTCAGGTCACTGCAATATCGAAAAAAAAATTCTATCCGGAAAACTGATTTGGCTAAGCAGACCCAGAATAACTCTAAACCGAATGTAGCGACTCCTATACAGAAGCCTAGGCGATACCCAAATTATATTAAGGAATTAACCTTAACCCTCACCAGACCATTAGAAACGAACCCTAATCCTCACCTGGACCCTGACTTCAGGAAGGTTGATCTTAAGGGCGAGCTCTTCCCTTGAGTACACGTCGGGGTAATGACTCTTCTCGAACGCACGTTCCAGCTCGTGTAGCTGGTACGTCGTGAACGTCGTCCGGTTACGTCGGTGCTTCTTTTTGGCATCAGGGGTCATTGGGTCCGATGGGGTTATGGAGTCCGCCGGGGTTATGGAGTCCGCTGGGGTCATGGAGTCCGAGCCCGTTGGACTGATGCTGCTTAAACAGGTGTTGGTGGAGTTGGAGGTGAGGTTGTTGGTGGAGTTGGAGGTGAGATTGGAGTTGGAGTTAAAGTTGGAGTTAGAGGTGAGGGTGGAGTCAGAGCTGGTAGTGCTGGGCTGGAGATCGCCTGTGGAAGAAGAATTCAAGAGTTCGTTAGATACAGATCACAACCCACTCCTGCCCACTCAAGCTCTGTACAACCCCTCTCCTGCCCACTCAAGCCCTGTACAACCCCCACTCCTCCCCACTCAAGCCCTGTACAACCCCCACTCCTGCCCACTCAAGCCCTGTACAACCCCCACTCCTGCCCACTCAAACCCTTTACAACCCTCACTCCTGCCCACTCAAGCCCTTTACAACCCCCACTCCTGCCCACTCAATCCCTTTACAACCTTCACTCCTGCCCACTTAAACCCTTTACAACCCCCACTCCTGCCCACTCAAACCCTTTACAACCCCCACTCCTGCCCACTCAAACCNTGCAGTGGGTTGCAGTGGGTTGCAGTGGGTTGCAGTGGGTTGCAGTGGGTTGCAGTGGGTTGCAGTGGGTTGCAGTGGGTTGCAGTGGGTTGCAGTGGGTTGCAGTGGGTTGCAGTGGGTTGCAGTGGGTTGCAGTGGGTTGCAGTGGGTTGCAGTGGGTTGCAGTGGGTTGCAGTGGGTTGCAGTGGGTTGCAGTGGGTTGCAGTGGGTTGCAGTGGGTTGCAGTGGGTTGCAGTGGGTTGCAGTGGGTTGCAGTGGGTTGCAGTGGGTTGCAGTGGGTTGCAGTGGGTTGCAGTGGGTTGCAGTGGGTTGCAGTGGGTTGCAGTGGGTTGCAGTGGGTTGCAGTGGGTTGCAGTGGGTTGCAGTGGGTTGCAGTGGGTTGCAGTGGGTTGCAGTGGGTTGCAGTGGGTTGCAGTGGGTTGCAGTGGGTTGCAGTGGGTTGCAGTGGGTTGCAGTGGGTTGCAGTGGGTTGCAGTGGGTTGCAGTGGGTTGCAGTGGGTTGCAGTGGGTTGCAGTGGGTTGCAGTGGGTTGCAGTGGGTTGCAGTGGGTTGCAGTGGGTTGCAGTGGGTTGCAGTGGGTTGCAGTGGGTTGCAGTGGGTTGCAGTGGGTTGCAGTGGGTTGCAGTGGGTTGCAGTGGGTTGCAGTGGGTTGCAGTGGGTTGCAGTGGGTTGCAGTGGGTTGCAGTGGGTTGCAGTGGGTTGCAGTGGGTTGCAGTGGGTTGCAGTGGGTTGCAGTGGGTTGCAGTGGGTTGCAGTGGGTTGCAGTGGGTTGCAGTGGGTTGCAGTGGGTTGCAGTGGGTTGCAGTGGGTTGCAGTGGGTTGCAGTGGGTTGCAGTGGGTTGCAGTGGGTTGCAGTGGGTTGCAGTGGGTTGCAGTGGGTTGCAGTGGGTTGCAGTGGGTTGCAGTGGGTTGCAGTGGGTTGCAGTGGGTTGCAGTGGGTTGCAGTGGGTTGCAGTGGGTTGCAGTGGGTTGCAGTGGGTTGCAGTGGGTTGCAGTGGGTTGCAGTGGGTTGCAGTGGGTTGCAGTGGGTTGCAGTGGGTTGCAGTGGGTTGCAGTGGGTTGCAGCGGGTTGCAGTGGGTTGCAGTGGGTTGCAGTGGGTTGCAGTGGGAAGCATTTAGGAAGCACGCAGCCCACTTTCCCTCTCCTTTCATTCCCTTCTACTTTCTCCTCTCCTTCTCCCGCCCTCCACTTTCCTCTTCATCCCTACCCTCCGCTCCTTGACCTCCCTCCTCCCCTTTCCCTCATCCACCTCCCCTCATTCTCCGTCCCTCCCCTTAATCCCCTTACCCTCCTCATTAGGCGTCGATTATTTGCCTAATGCGCATATAATTGGCACCACAGCGGCCTCTGCATTGACTGTACACTAACGAACAAACACTGGGCGGTAATTGGGCGGTAACTGGGCGGTAACTGGGCGGTAACTGGCGGTAATTGGGTGGTAATTGGGCGGTAACTGGGCGGTAACTGAGCGGTAACTGGGTGGTAATTGGGCGGTAACTGGGCGGTAACTGGGCAGTAATTGGGCGGTAACTGGGTGGTAAGTGGGCTGCAATTGGGCAGTAACTGGGCTGCGTGCAGCACGGGGCAGTAACTGGGCTGCGTGCAGCACGGGGCAGTAACTGGGCTGCGTGCAGCACGAGGCAGTAACTGGGCTGCGTGCAGCACGAGGCACTAATGGATCAATGGGGGCAGTAATGGACCAATGGGGGCACTAATGGACCAATGGGGGCACTAATGGACCAATGGGGGCACTAATGGACCAATGGGGGCACTAATGGACCAATGGGGGCACTAATGGACCAATGGGGGCACTAATGGACCTGTCTCTTATACACATCTAGATGTGTATAAGAGACAGGGGCACTAATGGACCAATGGGGGCACTAATGGACCAATGGGGGCACTAATGGACCAATGGGGGCACTAATGGACCACTTAGCGCCCGACTTAGCGGTGCTTGCCTCCAACACAGCAGAACCGGACACAAAACCACGGAGCTGAACTGCAGCGCCTCGAACTCACAAGCAATCATCACACAAACACCATAACAAACACGTGAATAACATCATAACAAACATTGAACAAACACGTGAATAACATCATTACAAACATTGTAAAAACACGTGAATTACATCAAACAAACACCATAACAAACACGTGAATAACAGCAAACAAACACCATAACAAACACGTGAATAATAACGAACAAACATCATAACAAACACGTGAATAATAACAAACAAACATCATAACAAACACGTGAATAATAACAAACAAACATCATAACAAACACGTGAATAATAACAAACAAACATCATAACAAACACGTGAATAATAACAAACATTTAAGAAACGCGCAACAAACACACACACAAAAATACACAAGCGCACAGCCAACACAATATCTGAAGAACACATTAAAACACAACAAACACACCAACACAACAAATACTCAAGAAACACACATAAAACACACAACAATCTCCCCTCAGTCATGATTGACCAATGACGATTGACGCAATCTCCACTTAAGCCATGATTGACGCAATCTCCACTTCAGCTACGATTGACGCAATCTCCACTTCAGCTACGATTGACGCAATCTCCACTTCAGCTACGATTGACGCAATCTCCACTTCAGCCACGATTGACGCAATCTCCACTTCAGCAACGATTGACGCAATCTCCACTTCAGCCACGATTGACGCAATCTCCACTTCAGCCACGATTCAATTCAGTCATGATTGACGATTGACTCAATCTTCACCTCACTTACGACTGCCGCAATCTCCACTCCAGTCATGATTGACGCAATCTCCACGGCAATCTCGAGCATCAATTAGCGCGCGCATGCCGAGGCTCGACGGCTCAATTAGCCATAATGGATTAGCCTGAGCCATCAGACATGTGGTCTAGCCTCTTAGTTAAAACGTATCAATTAGCCTCTTGGTTAAAACGTATCATTTGGCCTCTTAGTTGAAACGTATCAATTAGCCTCTTATATATATATATAGTTAAAACGTATCAATTAGCCTCTTGGTTAAAACGTATCAATTAGCCTCTTGGTTAAAACGTANAGCATGAGGCTTGTCAATTGGCCTCTAGCATGAGGCTTGTCAATTGGCCTCTAGCATGAGGCTTGTCAATTGGCCTCTAGCATGAGGCTTGTCAATTGGCCTCTAGCATGAGGCTTGTCAATTGGCCTCTAGCATGAGGCTTGTCAATTGGCCTCTAGCATGAGGCTTGTCAATTAGCCTCTAGCATGAGGCGTGTAACAATATTTTTGTATTGCTCAAGTCACGCTGATGGTGAAGCCATAGTTTGTTCACCCTAACTTGGAGTGAAGGATGAGGTAGAGTGAGAGCTGAAAAAAATGATAGTGAACTATAATAGTGTCCTGCACAACACTCAGGATGACGTATCTCACGCACGTAATTAGTGATAGTGATCTATAGTGTCGGCCAAATGGTGATCTACAATATAATGCCAGTAAAGAAAAAGATTAAAAAATTCGAGTTTTATATTGAAAAATAGTGATAAGAAAAGACGAACTGATGAGCGAGATTCCATAAGAATGTTATGGAATTATATACATGTTAATAAGGCGGTTATTAAGGCCTTTATATTGACTAATTAATCAGGCGTTAAGACTTACTGAAGCGACACTAATTAGACGAGACGGCAGCTCATTAGCGCTACTTACCACCGACGTAACAACGAAAATGTTTACGGTGGAAGTTAACCTTTAACACATTTACGGCTATAGATAACATCGAAAATATTTAATGTTTGAGTTCACGGTTACATATAACCGTAAAAATAATTTTATGGTTGAAGTTAACCGTGAAAATATTTTTACGGTAAAAGTTAAGTACGAAAATATTTACGGTGAAAGTTAACTACGGAAATATTTACGGTGAAAGTTAACCACGAAAAATTTACGGTGAAAGATATACACGAAAAAATATTCACTGTGAAAGTTAACCACGACAATATTTACGGTAAAAGTTAACTACAAAAATATTCACGATGAAAGTTAACCACGAAAATATTTATGGTGAAAGTTAACTACGGAAATATTTACGGTGAAAGTTAACCGCAAAATATATGCGGTGAAAGTTAACCATGAAAAAGTTACCTACGAAAATATATTTACGGTGAAAGTTAACCACGAAAATATTCACGATGAAAGTTAACCACGAAAATATTCGCTGTGAAAGTGAACAGCGAGATTATTTACGGTAAAAGTTAACCACGAAAATATTTACGATGAAAGTTAACCACGAAAATATTTACGATGAAAGTTAACCACTAAAATATTTACGGTGAAAGTTAACCACGAAAAATCATTACGGTGAAAGTTAACCACGAAAAATCATTACGGTGAAAGTTAACCACGAAAAATCATTACGGTGAAAGTTAACCACGAAAATATTTACGGTGAAAGTTAACAGCAAAAATAATTACGGTGAAAGTTAACCACGAAAATATTCACGGTGAAAGTTAACCACTAAAATATTTACGGTGAAAGTTAACCGGAAAATATTTACAGTGAAAGTTAACAGCAAAAATAATCACGGTACCGTAGCCACGCTATTACCACACCTGTCCATTAGTGTCTGATTATTGAACTGCTGATACGGGCGTCATGGTGCATGGTTGGCCGACGAAAACACGCCTATAATTTAGATGCCACAGACGGCATGGCAAGCGATACCATCTGTCTATTGTGTACAACCACCTGTCTGTATAACGTCCACCTGTCTGCAACAGTCACCTGTCTGCAGCAACAGCTGACAGGTGGCAAGATACCATCTGTGGCAGCTGCGGTAAACACGCGCCACGATTTTGTTCAACGTCCGCGGCGCTATAATTTGTTTGCAGTTTGTTAATGGGGACACAAGGGTATATTTAGGGAGAAATACTACGCGGCATGATTTTAGGGAGAAATCCTACGTGGCATGATTTTAGGGAGAAATCCTACGTGGCATGATTTTAGGGAGAAATCCTACGTGGCATGATTTTAGGGAGAAATCCTACGTGGCATTATTTCAGGGAGAATTCATATGCTGTAATATTTTAGGGAGAAATCCTACGTGACATGATTTTAGGGAGAAATCCTACGTGGCATGATTTTAGGGAGAAATCCTACGTGGCATTATTTCAGGGAGAAATCATGTGCTGTAATATTTTAGGGAGAAATACTACGTAACATAATTTTAGGGAAAAATCCTATGCTGTGATATTTTAGGGAGTATAAATAACATGCGGCAGTATTTTAGAAAGAAATCATACGTGATAATATTTTTCAGGGAGACATTACACGTGGCAATATTTTAGGGAAAAATCATAGGTGGTAATATTGTGTAAAGAAATCCTACGTTTGATTATATACCATCGACCAATATTCAAATATATAAAACGTATATATTGACCAATATTCAGGTATATATTGCATAAATATTTATCAATATTCAGGTATAGCTTCATGTTCCTAATGGAGGAGTTTTTATGAACTTAAATGCTTCACAGGAATTGATGTTTGGGAAAACTATTAATATTAATTATGTACAACATTAGGTATAACATCTTGAAGAATGTCAGCAAAAACTGCTCGATATCAAACCAAGAATCTTAAATAAATATAAAAAATATTCGCAGACATATTACTTTTACAGACGCTACATTGCGAACATCAAACTTTGTATAATACAAAAATTTTTATGGTTTAAAAAATGTGATACTAATAATAATATAATATTCAATATTTTGCAGAGCTCTAAAATAATACATTTTTTAGATAACTACAATTTTTAGATAAATTTTAGATAGCCAAAAAAAAATACATTTTTAAATAACTAACACTCAATATTTGACTGAATACAAATAATAAGAAAACAGCGCATTAATAATATAAAATCGATGCAAAATAATATAACAAATATCTGTTAAATTTTGTTTTAATTTGTCATTAAAAATGGCATTTATAAATTTATTTTAAATTTGGGAAATGGTTTCTTAACATTTTGGGTGAAATAAGAGTTAATAATAACAATAGTGATAGTAAATGTAATAATAATAGTTATATTAAGAGTTTTATGTAAAATGCGTGTTTAATTAAAAGTGTTCTTCAGTTAATCATAATCTTTATTGTCACCAGCTTTATCATTATCATTATTAAAGGGATTAAGGATTAAGAGGTTTTAAACTGACAGGGATTATAGATAAAAATTACATTTAAAAATAAACTACTGATTATGCTTATCTGAGGAAATGATGATCAAATAGATTAATGAAATACCACCTCTACTCCATTTGCTCCTCCTTATAAACTTTAATAGTGGCATAATATATGAATAAATTACATCATCAATATATTAGAAAATATTCACTAGCCAGGCCATGGTATGAATATAATATTTTAGTAATGCAGCCAACGCAGGGCTTTATTAATGTAAAAGAATATAACTGGCAAATAAGGAATATATGAATATAAAAAATAATGAAATGAGTAATGAATAAAATGAATAAGGTATAAAAACAACATTAAATAAAATGAATAATGAATGATGCATGAAAGTATGAATGCATAAAATGAATGATGAATAAAATATATAACGAATACATAAAGTATATAACATTACATTTTTAAGCTGACATGTTCTGACCTGTCATGGCCGCAGGGTCCACCAGTCTGCCGTGGGGGAGACCGGCCCCCGGAATCGGGCTCGCAGCCCCCGTGGATTTTTGTACGTTTTGCGCGGCGCGTAAATTTGGCAACGCCGCTCCGTTTTGCGCGGCGCGTAAATTTGGCAACGCCGCACCGTTTTGCTTCGGCTCCGTGGCCATCTTTTCCGGCGATAAAACGTTCCCGTTGAGTCTCTCATTTCCTTCTAACCTTCCCACAACTTGAGGAACAAGATTACATTTCCGCAACCCATCACCTTCATTACCACCATCACTATCATCATTATCATCACCACCAACGTGCCTTTGAAAATGCTGCCGGTTGACCAGTTGCTGTTGTTGTTGTTGTTGTTGTAGGTTGCGTAGGCCGAGGATAGCATCAATTGTGTGTGTAGGACACGTAGGACTCGCTTGTGTATTTGTATTAATATCAGATATCCTGCATGATAGACTAGAAAACATTGACACCGGTAAACTACACACAGGATGGGTACGGGGCATGTGTGAAACTTCCGTAGACTTTTCATAGGAATCGTGGACTGTATTTTCAATTTGGTATTCATCACCATCGATGTCAATATCATTATCATCATCATTATCATCCATGTTGACGTCTTCACTCTCATCACCTTCATCACCCCAATGTCCAGTGGGGGGGTACGTGGCGGAGGGGGTTACCGTCTTGGGGGCCGATATCCCCTTGAATGTCCCCTCGGATATACCCTCGAATGTCCCCTCGATTTGCATGTTCTTTACGAACATCGCATGCTCGTCCATGTCATTGGGATCCGTCATCTTGGATTCACATACAATTGGCACCCGCATGGTCATGTTGCACTTGAATTTATAGGTGGTTTATAGGTGGTATATAGGTGGTATATAGGTGGGTTATCGGTTGGTTATAGGGGAATAGCAGTTGGATTATATGTGGGTCATATGGAGAGGTTATAGGAGGGTCATATAGAGGCCTATATGTATTAACACCTGGACACCTGTTTCGGTATGCGATATAATGTGACCCCCATATAACGTATATGTGACGTGATGTTGCAAGTGTGTTGGAAGTATGTGTAATAAGTTATATCAATTTATTTAGCCAAGTGAAGTTAAACGTTCACGACTAGTTCAACATTTTCCCAAAATTCCGTTGTTAACATAGTTTCTTCAGAAAGTTCCTTTATATATTCAAGTTCACATAGTTCATTTAGATAGTTCTAATAGACAATGTATACTGTCCATATAGGCCACTATAGCCAAAAAATTGCCCTCCATTTTCTGTCTTGGCATGAAAAAATTCACTTTTTTCCCTTTTGTTCTCTGCCAAAGATAATCAAATAAAAAATTAATGAAAGTTAACTAATCTAGAAGTTAAATAATTATAATAATTAAAATTTAATTGAACAATTTTATCCCGCCCGGGGGCAGGGGGATAACATCAAACATCATTGAGATTCATGATAATCAACAGCATAATTGATATCATTATATGATTTATATTATATTATATTATATTATATTATATTATATTATATTATATTATATTATATTATATTATATTATATTATATTATATTATATTATATTATATTATATTATATATGATTTTTTTCAACGTTATCTGCGTATACGGAGACTGTAAATGATACATGGGTTTGCTGCAACGAAGTGATAGCAGCGCAATCATTGGATGATAGCAGAGTAATCATTATTATAACCTCCTATAATGTAGCTCATTTGTGTTGAACTCTAAATATTCAATGCTGCTTTTATAATGATATATACGAAAATAATGATTATTTTACACAATAATACTATAATCGTGAATTATATAGACTATAATAGATTCTGAAGCATTATAAATTATTAATATGCCAAAGTATATATTATATAATTACTGTAACGTACTATCATAATAAACCTATATATACAGTAAGAAGTAGTAAGTAAATAGTAAGAAATCCTATATATGGATTAGATGACTATACTCAAATCCTATATATTTAAATATTTGTTAAGAATATTCCGGATTTCTTGGAAGTGTAAAAGGAGAAAAAGAAATTGAACTGTGGAAATTGAACAGTTTACATTTGATTTCTTCATAACCGAAGTCTAAAAATAATTTAATAACAGTTTACAGTTTCACTTTTCTATTTATAACGTTAATTTTTTTCTGCTGGAATTGTCTATTAAAACAAACGTCAGCATAGACATATATAGCATTACCGATCCCAATTACCTATATAATTTAAGCTCGCTGGCACTCAATTAAATTAATGAGACTTTGTCTATATATAGCGATGCTTTTTTTTCGTGTGTGGGTTAGTGTTTGCTCTGGGTTCACGGGTAATATTTTAATAATATAATATAATATATTAATTTGTGCCATAAAATGAAGCACTAACGAAGGTAAGGCTTAATAATAATATAGGAAACGTCCTATACCTCAATTAAACATAAGTTGCCAATCAACTGATATATATACTGCACTAAAGTCGCCACTCGTCAATAATGACTGTATAACTAATATAATTGTCTGAACTAAGATTTTAAAGGTTCTATTAACATATAATAACTTTGTAGCCGTTATATATGATCGCGCGAGAAATATGTCGTTTAGTTGTAAATACATCGTTGTTATATTGAAGGTTGGCGACTTAAGTGCCGTGGCCACATTATATACGATGGTATAGTCTATTTATAATACAATGTTGCAATATTATATACTGCGTTTGTTATTATTACGTGTTATTGTTCTTATATAATATTACTTGATATTACTTTAAAATTATTCTGTGTTTATTATTCAACATAATGTAGGCTTCATTTAGTTGTATAAAACTTCGTATTTTGCAAGTTATTATACATATTAATGAAACAAAAATGACTGTTAATTTGCAATCAATCTCATCCGTTCATGATACCCTCCCACAATTTGTTTAGTGTAGAAAATTTGCTTATTTTTGCCTGCCATTATGGAAAAAATTGACCGTGAAAGAATTTTTTAATCGCACATTTTTAGAAAACTGTGCCCAATATTCCAGATTGGATTCAGAATTAAGTGGCTTTTGCCTGATTTTCCAATGGCTGCCGCTGCTACGCTCCGTTAAATTTAGTGTCAGATTAATTAAGTTTATTATTAATTTATTAATTGTTATTGTTGATTATCATTCTGGTTATTCATATTTTGTGTATCATTTTTGAATAAAATGGCTAAAAAATCAGTTATTTGAACCTCATATACAATAATATAATATCACATATATAAGATCATAACATATATCAATTATATGCCAATAATTATTTTTATTAATACATTCACCGTTGAAACTTTCCTCGCAATATTCACAACCACTTTCTTTTCAACCCTAAAGGTTCAACCCAAGTTTCAACGCCGTTTGCTTCAACGCAGTAAAATCAACACAATGACGTAGAAATAATGTTTACATTACTAAAACTTTGAGCTATCGTGTTTACACAACAAGTTATTTCAAAGAATTAATTCATTTGTTGTCATTCATTTACTGCAATTCATTATTTGGTGTAATTCATTCTTAGTTTTTTTATGACACATACATCCATGTCTCACATGTATGCATGAGTAATGTTCATTACATTCGCAGTTGCAGTTTAGTTCACTAGACGAATAGTTAATTCTAGATGGTCTTTGTTATTATTTATAATATACTTTTCTAGATGACTATAGATTTTAATTAAACACTTCAATTAGCACTGTTAAAAGTCTGGAATGATACTGACACTCGGTGCACCAAACGGCACATCATTTTCTAGGTCGCGGCATCGAATTTCAAAATAATTTAACCTGATGCATAATTTCCATACATCAACCCACGTATTTTATTTATTAGATAACAAATAAAGATTCAATAGTTGATAAACCACGGCAATAACCCGACACGAGCGGCGGCGGTAGCGGCGGCGGCGGCGGGAACAACTGCAGTGTCGGCGGCGTATAACTTATGCCACATCCAGCCACTCGTGCACTACATACAACCACTCCTCCGCCACGTCCAGCCACTCATCACTCCACTTCCAGGACGTGCTTCCATCATATCCATGCCCCTCCTTCCACTCACCACAACCATACCTCATATAACTAGCCGGGCTCCTGATTGGCCTAACCCAAACACTGGAACCCTCGCCAAACACAAACAAACTCTGTGATTGGTCAAAAATCCTGGAAATGGGCGGGGCAAACACAAACAAACTCCCTGATTGGTCGAAAATCCTGGAAATGGGAGGGGCATGGGCATTGTCTCCTCCCCCTATTCCAGTCACTGGATATTCCCATTCCCGACGATTGCTGGACACGTCATCTGGATTTGAGTGGGCGGGGCGATGCCAATTCCTGGTTACATTGTTACCGCTAACGGGCCAATCGCGAGGCCCGTAACGCCGTAATGGTTAGATGAAAGCGCTGACTGGCGATCCAATTGAAGCAATTTGTAAGGTAATGAAATTATATGTGTGTATCAAAGGGAATAGATTGATATCTGCAACCCCTGGGGGGGGCAGGGGGGCAATGGGGGGCACGGTGTCCACGAAGCAGACTTTTTAGGGTCCAAGGCGCGAAGTAATTTAATTGGGGGCCAAGTTAGGCCGGATTAGGGCCGGATTAGGGCAGGATTTGTGACCATGATGCATTGATGCACTAAGCGCTTTTTTTGTCGCGTTTTAGGTTAGGAAAACGTTGCGTTGTACGCGAAGTATATGGCGTTTTACGCACGAGTTGACGCAATGTCAGGGATCGCTGGAACATCCATCAGCAGCCACCTTTGTGTTCAGTTTGTGTTCCATCTGCAGGCTTTGTGTTGGTGTGTGTTGTGTTGTGTTCTTTATACAGCTTACACGGATTAAAAGAAGTGATCTGTTGGTGGGTTGCCCATGCTTCACTGACTCACTTAAGTGAGATAGCCTTCCTCACCCACCACACCCACCTCACCCACCTCACCCACCTCACCCACCTCACCCACCTCACCCACCTCACCCAC